TTTAACTTGACAAATTAATTCTGTTCTTCATATGGTCACTTAGAAAATGTGATTTTAGGGGGGGTTTCTTCTTCGTGCTTTTCCAGAAAATGCCATCTTGGCATCGGAAATCGCATCCGAGTTTCAACTCTCAGTTTTTAAATTTAGCAGCTTTTTAGACCCTCTGGACTAGTTTTTCTTGGGACGGCATTTTTGGCATTTGACATTGAGTATTTTTCTATTTTTCTCAACTGTCAAGTAGAAAACTCGATTTTGAGTGGGGTTTCTTCTTTGAGTTTTTCCAGCAACTGTCATCATGACCCTTAAATTTTCATTTTTCCCGGAAAAACCCGTGCTTCCAAGGTTTCTTGCTACCCATTCTGCCGCCTTCACATCTAAACGGTTACGAGGGGTTTCGTAACCCGTTAGATGAGTGTGGGCAGTGTATTTCTCATGAATTTTGGCCTCCTAACCGGTTAGGAAGGTCTCCTAACCGGTTAGATGTTCATCGGTTGCCTCTTTTGGGAATTTAACTTGACAAATTAATTCTATTCTATTCTAACCCGTTAATGTATGTACTATAACATACATTAAACTGAGCGTGTTTAGATGAGAAGTGAAATCTAGGGAATTTAGTTGTTTTATTTAATTGTTCAAATTATGATTTTAAACTTATATCAAACCTGTGAGGCTATGTTCTTGTTGTTGAATGATATTGTTGTAATTAGTGGCAAATTGCATAATGACTATTCTATATTCTTCATGCCAATTTAGTTGAGAACTTAGGGCATGTATTGTGTTTCCAAAATTGATTTGTGCATGTTGATGGCTTTACATTGTATATATATATATATGTTATGTTGATACATATACGTAATGTGCACAAAATGTTTACTTTGGAAACTTGGGGATGTCGTTGTTATGACTATGGATAGGGCATGGTTCTAGTACGAGGGAAAGTCCCTCTACAAGTCTAGTGCGCACATAAGGAGGTTACCTATGGGCTAGTAACCCTAAAGTAATCACATTGTCGGTTTGATTCGGCGTGACGTCCAAGTATCCATTTTGGTTTGATTTCGCATTTAAATTCCATGTTGTTAACCTTGTGAAATTACATCTCATTATGTTATGTTGAAAGTTCTATTGTCACTTGATAGCTTGAATTAAAGGGTATTGGATTGTAACTTGGTACAAAGATAAACCCATGCATTCCCTACGAGGAAACTTGTTTACTCACCCCTAAGTTAATGGGTGTTTTGCAGGTAAAAAAGCCTTAGTGTGAGACACACAGCATTCTTAGACTTACTAGAGCTCTTAAGTATTTTTGATGACATAAAATATGCATATGTTAGCATATCTTGTCCTACTTTGCTTACTTTGATAAAACTTTTACTTATTGTCTAAGTTACGTAATGTGCACTTAAGTGCACCTTTTGACACTCTTAGAATATTTATGTAATGAGGCCATTGGCTAAGGACACATATATGTCATGTATGCTACTTTATCTTTGTAGTTTGTATGTGGAACTTAAGGGATTTCATCCATTGAAGGGTCATATTTTGCATATGACGTCCCATGAGGCCGTAGACCATTTGTAGCACGTCTATTTCATCATAATACATTTGCGTGCATGCTCACTTGGGCAAAATTCACACCGTTTCATGTAATGAACTTCCTTTGGACACTTTTTGACATTTTAAATTGCAAATCTGATGTGAGGACATTTTAGGTATTTTACCTTGACAAATTAATTCCGTTCTTCACATGGTCACTTAGAAAATGTGATTTTAGGGGGGGTTTCTTCTTCGTGTTTTTCCAGAAAATGCCATCTTGGCCTCAGAAATTGCATCCGAAGTTCAGCTTTCAGTTTTTAAATTTAGCAGCTTTTTGGACCCTCTGGACCAGTTTTCTTGGGAGGGCATTTTAGGCATTTCACATTGAGTATTTTTCAATTTTTCTCACTATTTATGTAGAAAACTCGATTTTGGAGGGGGGGGGGGGGTGTTTCTTTTTTGAGGTTTTCCAGAAAATGTCATCTTGACCCTCAAATTTCCATTTTTCCCGGAAAAACCCCTGTTGCCAGGGTTTCTTGATACCCATTCTGCTGCCTTCACATCTAAACGGTTACGAGGGGTTTCGTAACCAGTTAGATGAGTGTGGGCAGTGTATTTCTTGTAAGTTTTGACCTTCTAACCGGTTAGCAAGGTCTCCTAACTGGTTAGATGTTCATGGGTTGCCTCTTTTTGACCGTTTTGCCCCTTCTTCTTCCGTTAGCCATATCTTCTTCATCCGGACTCCGAATCAAGTGATTCTTGAGTCTAAATTCATTAATTTTTTGTTGTCTTTCCAATGGTGTGCTCGATGGTACCCACTTTTAAGCTGAAAATGACGATTTTTCCTCTAGGTTCATTCTTGATTGTTTTTGAAACGTTGCTTCCGCATTTGATTCCTTTGGGTTCCGTGACCTCATTGAGGGTCATAGTGGTGTCTTAGAGCCATGTGGTATCTCTACAGACCGTTGTTTTGTCTTTTCCTTCTGCATTTTGGATCCGTTATCAGGTTATCTTTCGGTTCATCACTGACGCACCGGGTTGAAAAACTTGGGCCGTCACACTAACATACTCAAGATTAGGGCTCAAATGTGCAATATTTTAGCACTTGTCAAGTGGTATTTCCCAAATATTTTTATCTCTCAGCTTGACTCGAAAAATAGGTATATCTTGTAGCCAGCTGCGTTGTCTCATATTCAGCTCCCTTTGCATAAACAAATATTGTAGACTCTGGTGATCACTAAACAATTTGAATAACTCCCCCAGAAGATAATGCCTTCAAATACGCAAGGCAAAAAAAATCGCTTCTAACTCCAAATCGTGGGTCGGATAATTAAGCTCATGAGGCTTAAGCTTACAGGACCTATATGATAGCGGTCTCTCCTCTTGCATTAGAACACATCCTAAACCTTGCAAAGATGCATCAGTGTAAACAAGATACTTTATCCCACTTTGAGGAGTGGCTAGAACAAGTGCAGAAGTCAACTTGCTTTTCAGCTCCTCAAATGCTGCTTGATAATGATCATCATATACAAACAGTACACCTGCTATTGGATGAACCGCATATATTTCCTGTGTTTTATTTTGCTTCCTAAGTGATTTGTTAATGTAAATGACTGAGTTATTTGATGTGAATAATTGTTTATTTCCCAGCATCTTAATTTATCCATACAGTGCATATTTATATACACTTACAAAACAAAGCAAATTTTCCAATCAATTAGGTACACTGACGAAACAACAAATCTTAGAGTTTTACGTGTGTAAAAGGTTAAAAGAGAGAAATTGTTTATAGTTTAATGGCTAGTTTTCTGCATTGTTTTTCTAGGTTGCAACTATGTATGTTGTTCTTCCTGTTGAATGGATCTCGACTTTTGGCTAGACCTCTACGACATTTGATGAATTATGGTATTTATGTATATATTTGTTTACGCATTATTAGTATCTGAGTATGATGAAATTCTACTGCTTAGGTTTCTCTTTCCTTTTTTTTTTTTTTTATTTTTTTATGTGTGTTTGATGATTTATAGTAAAGTCGTAACATAAGCAAAAAATGGGAATAGATATATTCAACTCCCTCTAGGTCACATCTCAAGATCATAACCATTGCGTTCTTGATTGTGACCGGCTACCGTCTCAGTTGTGACTTCTTTAGTTAGACTCACTCTTGAGCTAAGCTGATAGAACCATATCATTGTGTTGCATCAAGGATCCACATAATAGATATCACTAGCTAAGGGGAGCCAAGTATTTTGAAGAATCTTGGGCTTTGCTGTGTGCTCGGTGATTTCTCTCCTCTTGGGTGGAGGGGGATATTGTTGGGGTCCACCCACGTTATAATAGACATTAAGGGGGTGAAGGATTCTTATATTTTTGTTCTTATCTCATGTGTGAGATTTTTAGAGAGGATTACTTTCATTGTATTTTGAAAGGGCTATAAGTGTTGTTTGAGAAGATTATTTTTTATTGTATTTAAAAGGACACTTTGATCATGAGGAGAACTCAGATTAGATTTTCCTTGTAAGTGATTGGGTACTTTAGGGTTGAGGGTGTAGCGAGAAATCATTGTGTGTAATCCTCTATCTGGGACGATTGACAATCTTGAGTGGAAATCTTGGTCTCCATGGACATAACCCTACTGTTGAGTGAACCACGTATATCTCGTGTTCTTTATTTTGTTCCCTAAGTGATTTATTTATGTGAACAGTTGAGTTATTTGATGTGAATAATTGTTTATTTCCCAACATCTTTACCTATACAGTGCACTTTTTATCTTTCAATTATGCACACTTACAAAACAATGCATATTTTCCAATCAATTAAGTATATACACTAATCAAACAACAAATATGAGAGTTTTACATGTGCAAGAGTTTTACGTGTGCAAAAGGTTAAAGGAGATAAATTGATTTATAGTTTTGGCTAGTTTTCTGCATTGTTTTTCTCAGTTGCAGTTATGTATGTTGGTCATTCGACTGAATGGATCTCGACTTTTGACTTAACCTCTACAAGATTTGATGGATCGGGATATATATATATATTTATATATATACATATATTTGTTTACGCATTACTAATATGTGAATATGATGAAATTCTACTGCTTAGGTTTATTATTATTATTATTATTTTATTTACCAAAAAAAAAACAAACACACACACAATTTTCTGCCATCGCATAGGTCTGCCTCTACATGACCAATAGGATAACAAACTGGGATATGATGGACGTATTTATGCAAGAAACAAGCCTTGTGATCCATTTCAAAATCTTAAAAATTCCCAATTCCGTAACAAGCACATTTTCAAAGTGATATTCCAAAAGAGAAATTTTGTTTTATAGAATAAAAGGTATAATTGGTTGTTTTTCATGGGATTCAAGACCAGAAAGATTATGAACCTCAATCAGGAGAAGAACATAAATTTAGGTGAAAACAACCAACGTTAACTCTCATCAGGCATAATTAATATACCATAACTGCTAGTAGTTTATTATTAATTCATACAAAGAACTGTAATGCCTTCAATTTTTGCGATCTGATGTCCACATCTGCTTCTGCAAATCAAGTTAAACTCGTGGTCTAGTTCTTCTCGTGTACTCTATATATCCACCAGACCAAGTGCACAACTTTATCTCTACTGCTGAGACAGAACAAGGTTAATTAACATGAGAACTAAAATGAGCTGAAAATACTTACTCCAAATACATACAATGTAAAAATTAACAAGTTCTAGATAAAGCTACTGTAATTAATACTTACCCTACAATTTGAAAACAGAATTGATGCAAATTTTCTGAATGGTCATCAATGGGAGGAGCTATCCATGATCAGCACGAAGGTCACAACCATGACGAAAATGGTTAGCACGAAATTAACAGGAGATCTTCGACCACCATTTCTTGTAGGAAGATGGGTAGGAAGTGCGCACTCTTCACCATTGAAGATCACTCTTGTAGGAAAACCATCTCCTTTTGCTACATTTATGCCGGGCGTGTTCTTTTTCAAGAAGGAAATGGTTGTTTGCTGCTTACCGGGCACTCTCAGATTTATAGGATTAGTCCCATTTGTTATTCCCACCAAATAGTTCAATCCCTTTAAACCTTGGAAGAAGATGGTGTTGTTGAGCTTAGGCAACTTTGTACCATTGAAGGAATACACATTTTCATAACCACGAAAAGCCTTTTTCATCTGAATGGCAGTGAACCAGTCTTCAAATGGGAATGCATCCCAGTTGAATAGCGTCATCCTAGCCGTCCACCCCGTATTGAAATCAGTGTCAATGTGCCAGTTAATGCTCACCCCACAGTTATCTGGACAAGGCATTTTTTTAGGGACTTGTTGGTGCTTAAGTGAGGCATAAGCTTTTGCTAGCAGTGTCCGGTTGTCGAAAGGCACAAGAAGAGCTTCCGGAGGGAGAGGCAACGCACGGCCATTGGCATTGCAATGTTTAGTCTCTTGACAGCCACAAGCGCAGGTGTTGCAAGGCACTGCTGCGTCAGAGTAGTAAGCGGAGAAGGTAACACAGCACCGATTGGCCTTAGGCTTAGGCTTGGTAATGTTGCATGTCACTTGCCAAGTTGCAACTGCTGAAGAAGTAGCCGCAAGACCACTTGTGTCCGGGAATTCGGTAGGCTCTACCCTAATCGGAGCACCACATTTGTAGTCGGGATTGAGAACACCGTCGATTTTCCAGTTCATGGGGGGATTAAAGGCGGTCCGGTTCAGGTCAGGAGGCATCTTAAAGACTTGCAATTGGAAGATGGATCTTGCCTTGGTCTCATTCATGGTGGTTGGTAAAATACTCCCATTCCTGCAGCAAAATGGTATTTTTCCTATTTTTTGGTCATTTTCTTTCTCGGGAGGGAGATCGGAGATGACCGGCTTTTTCTGGCAGTTCATGACCGGAGTGAAATCCATGCTCTTGTAGTATTTTCCGGCTGCGCCGTAAATGCACTCAGAGGAGTCCTTTTTGTGAGTGTAAGCTCCTTTCATGCTGTAAATGAACTCTCCTCTCATCCATTCCCAGGTCAAGTTCCAGTGATCAAGACGGCCAAGCGGATGGTTGTTGTCTATGGTTACTTGAGCCATGTAGTTGCCTTCGAATGCTTGTGTTACGTCGTAGGTGAGGGAGAGATCGCCATACTGGCGAGGCATGAATTTTGTTGTAACATTTTTGGGCTTGAACTTTGGATCCTTCTTACAGCAAACAATCATGCCGCTGGCTGTAAATAAGGTTGTTAGATACTCTTAATTTAATTGTTCATCTTTTAATTTTTACATTTGAAAAGTCAAATAAAAATAAATGTATCTTTTCATAAATATATTTTTTTAAAAGTTTTAAATAATTTACACATACACATTCTAATCTTGAAAGGATAATATAATAATTTTTTTAAAAAATAATGTAATAATTGAATATTCTCTTTAAACATTCCTACCCAAAAGGGGTTTTTTTTTAATTATTTTTTTACGAGACACAGAGACTACTATTGCATTAGAAAAAAATAGGCAATGCACAATCAAATCAAATCAAATCAAGTGGGATTAGAAGTGGCCTAGGTAAAAATCACGAACAAATTTCACTATATATGCAAAGAAGAAATGAATTGTACCTACAAGTACTCATACCCTAATCCTAATTAATACAATCTTTGTCTATATTTTAGATTTTTAAGTGTTCTTGATGAAAAAACAAATCCTAATTACATCCTTATATTCCACATTATAATAGAGTCCAGAATCTGCAGAATTAAAAATGGCAAGACAAAAACAAATTTCAGATTCATTGATTTCATTTGTCATCAATTCAATGTAAATGGTGAAAGTTCAAGTAAATAGATGCGCGAGTTTCAAGATTCTAAAATGAAATGACTCCATAATTGAAGTGTTAATGGAATATTCACGAGCACACCTAATTTACAAGAACATACATGCATGCAGGATGGAGAATTAATACTTACGATTTTTCTTTGGTGCGGGACACTTGAACCCCTCGTTTTCAAGCCTTATAGTCTTGGGCAACGGAGTGGCGGAGGGGGACACCCCAAACTGCGTTCCAGTCATCTCTATCTTCACCGACATCTGTTCGAAATCCCCGGCGGTATCAATAGCCGTCTTCAAATTGGTCTGTGGGTATCCAACAAGGTGGGTTCCATTCCCGACTTTAGCCGGGAAGCCATCCCCGTCCACCACAGAAACCCCCGTAGCCGACACCAGTATCTCGTCGTGCTGGAACCCTATGAACATCTTCCAGGCCTTGAGCTCGTCTGCCCCGGCGTTTACGATCGTCGCCGTGGACTTGAATTTCCATGCTTGTGCAGATACGTTCTTCACAAGAGGGTATTCCTTCTCTCTCGACTCGAAGTTATATGAAAGGAAGATGCCATTGCAATTTTCTTGTTCTGGTGGTGGTGCAGGTGGCGCAGGCGGTGATAATGAGTCATCGCCGTAATCCTGAGCGTTACATGTCTGGATGCTAAAACAAAACAAGACCAATAATAATGCAGCAATGGTAGACACCACCTTCCAAGGTATTTTCATACCTTTACTTGGAATGGTAATTGTCATACACAATTATATCTATATATATGTGTGTATATGTAGATATATTTGTTATAGAGAAAGATGGGGAAATATTAATGGAGGAAAAAGAGAGAATTGTTTCTGTTCATCACCAGCCGATGCCAAGGCACTCGGCAAGGAGGTGATGAGAAAAAATGAAGAGAGTGAAGAGAAGAAAAAGGTTAGAGAGTGCCATACTTTGAAACAGGCTTATAATAGAAAGAGAAAATGGTTAGACCTTGTCAGCAGAATTCTCTTCCTCTAGTTTTACCGGAGGATTCGGGAGTCAAAGAGAGTCACAAATGAGATAGTAATTAGTTAATTTTCTGGTAAAAAGGCAGGAAGGCTGTAAATAGTGTAGGAAGGACATTACAACAATTGTTGATACCTAGCTTCCATTTAGTTTCCTCTTACCACATGGATAGTGTACGTAGTATTTTTCAATTCACAAAGTTTATATGGCGAGTTAAAAGAAATATTTGAATGATATGTGGCATTACTTCTGGAAGAAATGTTTGTTATTTGGAGAATCCAACCTATTGCATTTTTACTCATATTTCTAATTAAATTTCGTGGTAAATAACTCTCAGCTAATCTTTTTTAATGCTTCCATCTACTGCCACTCTATATTGAATACAGATTATTATTTTTAAAAGTAACAACAACTTCTACTAATTAATCAAAAGGCATCGTCTTATTAATTTTTCAATTTTATTTTATTTTTTTCTAAATGAGCTATGTATTCAAAGAGGGAACAATAAAGTGTTAGGGAAATGGAAGTTTTAGAAAATTTTAGGGGATTTTTAACTAAAGATCTTGATTCATACGTAGAGACAAGTTTTATACATGAAGAAAATGATGATCCATTCATCTAGAGTTAATAAATTTACATCAAGGTTTAAGTAAACCTTAAATCTCTGATATAAAGTGAATGTTCTCACTTATAGTAGATTCCTTAGTTATATGCCTCTTCCGTAGACCGGCTTCCATCTTCTTGGTAGTGATCTTACCTTTAGGAATCATCCATATACCTCCATGAATGGCCTTGGAGAGCTAAGCTTGTGCGAACCTCCATTACATGAAAACACTAACCCTAAAATTTTAAAGAGAGAAATATTTTTTCTTATCTTCCAAAAATAATGCACAAAGGCATAATTAAAATATACATGGACCCCATATATATATAGTCAAAATAAAAATGAAGACAATATATTTCTCAATGTCTAAAATTCATGTGATATCTCAAATCTAATGGGCCTCTAACATCAAGTTGGGCTATTGGTGAGAATCCCTTGAACTTATTATTTTCTTAGCTACCATGAATTAATAATTGGTCTAGTCCATTATACCATAAACCCAATTCAAGTAATTCATAAACCGATTTCTAATCCACTAAAAGAAATTAATTGAACTCCAATTAAATAGTAAATAACATCTAAGTCAATGCTGCATTTTAACCCCTCTATACATAATTAGTTATCGGATAAGTAAAGCCATCAATCCGGCTATTAAATTAATATATTTATTTCGGTACCTTTGATTATTTCTAACTTGATCACAATAAACATTTGTTTGACAAAAATAATAATTTAGTAAATAAATACATTAAAAATTATTTTGTCTAAAACATACGAAGGATTTCAAATTTACTTTGTGATCAACCATAATCAATACAAAACAAATACGAGTAGGAATGATGCAAATATTAAGAATATAATACTCAAACTATTAATTACATAACTACCCAAAGTGCCGGTATTTGGATTCCAAAGAATTTGCCGAACAAATCAAAGTAATTACTAATTAATAAAAGAGTATATACTTCTCTCATACTTAAGAGTCAAATACCATGACAGTAATAGGGAGAAATTGCATACAACGGCTCTCACAATATCTCTCAACCTAACGCGAATCCGGTTCAAGTTTTAGTTAATTAAGAGTCCATCCTTAATTACCGACTCTGAACTATTTATGATTACTATTTATGTTCATGTATTGATCGCCATTACATACATATAAATATCTCTTGCAATCAAGTAGACACTATCAATTCTATAATGAATCGAAACACAATACATTGAATTCACCAATTGTATAAAGTATAAATATATCATTTTAGGTTTGCAAGAAACATATTTCACTTTAATCCAAATAGAAATTTGTTATACTAGGGCATAGAAATCCCAACAATCTCCCACCTACTCTCATAGCTAATTCGAATCGTACCTAACTCCCATGTTATCCAGGTGACGATTAAAACTATTAATCAATGACATCTTTGTGAATGGATCAACAAAGTTGTGTTCTGATGCAATATTCTTAACCACGAGTACATTTTCTTGCCTGACAATATCATGTAGAACATAATACTTCCTCTTAATGTACTTTGTTCCTCTATGGAGTCTTAGGTCATTGGTTTGGGCTACTTCTGCACTATTATCGCAATATAGCTTGATAGGCAGGCTTGTATGCTCCACAACCTCTAAATCATTGAGATCAAACCAAAAGGCTTCCTTTGCTGCCTTTAAGGCTACAATGCAGTCCACTTTCATGGTTGAGTTAGCAGTCGAAATATACTTAACACTCCACCAACTGATTTCCCTTTCATTGAGTGAATATACACCAAGTCATGGACCTTATAGTATCTACATATGATTGAAAATCACAATCAGCATACCTGATTGGGACCACATCATCACATCCATAAATGAGCATGAGATCATTGGTTCTCCTAAGGTACTTTATGATATTTTTCATAGTAAACCAGATATCAAGTCCGGGATTGGACTGATATGTGATATCCCCATATTTCCACGTGTAGGTTGGCCAGGCCCACACCCGAAAGCACGGGGAAATAAAAAACAAACTGGCAATAAGCGAACACAGAATACAAAAGGATAAATAAGAATAGATAAAAATGTTGATATAAAAAATAAAATGATAATCCAATATTTAAATCCTCGGAATAAATTTTCATTAATTAATTCTTCTAATACAACTAATCCTCCAATAATACAACTCGGGAATCCATACTGTGTGGAACCCTAGAAAACCAAAACTGAGAAATAACAGTAACAACTGTCTTGTAATGACCCGGTCATTTTTCTTTCTTTCCTTTTTTCGGAAATTTTCTTTTTTCGTCTTTTCCTTATTTCGTCCTCTTCTCGTTTTTCACTTTTACTTGCATAACCTCATTTTTGTACTCGGATTTGATTCTGGTTTTTGCATACGTCCATAATATTTAAATTCCATGACATCTACATTTTTACTTTTGTAGAAATGCATATTAAATACTTACTTTCTTTATAAAAGCCATGAAAATAAGACTTTTTGTAATTATCCATAACTTGAGGGGTTTTTGGGTAATTAAGTAAAGTAATTATTTTTCGTCTTAGGGACCATTTTACAAATTAATTTGGAAGATATTTTCAAAAAGGGGCTTTTTGCAATTTTCGAAAACTGTGACAAGTGTCACATTCCTATGGTGCCACTTGTTGATTTTGTGGTGAAACCAATTGGAGGCTTAATCTCATGACACATGGAGGATAGAGATTCACCCACTTGTTATCCTAGGATTAGTGCACTTGTTGGCATGGATGGTTGACAAGTGTAGGGTTAATATTATATCTTGGAAGCTTACTTGGTTTTATAGCAACTGTAGGACTCACCTTTAGTCTTGCATTAGTGTGTATGTGAGAGGTAATGCAAGAGCACCTACTGAGTTGAGAAGCCCATCAATTTAGCTTAGGGTTTACACATTTTAATTCATTCATCACTTTCCTCTCAAGAACCCTAAGGAAGCTACCATTGGAGAAAAGCTTGACTAGTAGCTTTGACTTCATTTTTGGTTCCCTTTCATTCACCCTAGAACTTTGAACTTGGAATACTTTAGGTTCCTCCCACTCCCCTCTACAAAACCCTTGTTTGGTTTTTCATTTTTAAGCTCGGTTGCCTTAGATTCAAGAGGAACAATCATCTTGTGAGGTAGGGGGTGTTATCATTTATCTTCCAAGTGATTTTATTTGTTCCTATAGTGATATCTAAGTTATATGTTTGTCTTGTATTAAAATGAGAAATAAATGATTAATTGTAACTTGTATGTAATTCACTTTAAACTTGATAAATAACATGACCATGGCTTGATTCATAACTTACGTTAATTTGAAGTCATTTAGAGTTGTTTTAAAATCTAGAGGGATTAATGAATTAATTTAATTAATTTTTATTTATATGCTCCCATGACTTAAATCAAGTTTTGAAGTGATTTATATAATAACCATGACATGTACTACAACATATATTAAATTGAGCATGTTTGGATGAGAAGTGAAATCTAGGGAATTTAGTTGTTTTATTTAATTGTTTAAATTATAATTTTAAACTTATATCATACTTGTAAGGTTATGTTCTTGTTGTTAAATAATATTGTTGTAATTAGTGGCAAATTGCATAATGATTATTCAATATTCTTCATGCCATTTTAGTTGAGAACTTAGGGCATGTATTGTGTTTCTAAAATTGATTTGTGTATGTTGATGGCTTTACATTGTATATATATATGTTATGTTGATACATATATGTAATGTGCACAAAATGTTGATTTTAGAAACTTGGGGATGTCGTTGTTATGACTATGGCTAGGGCATGGTTCTAGTATGGGGGAAAGTCCCTCTACAAGTCTAGTGCGCACATAGGGAGGTTACCCATGGGCTAGTAACCCTAAAGTAATCACATTGTCGGTTTAATCCGGCGTGACGTCCAAGTATTCACTTTGGTTTGATTTCGCATTTAAATTCCAAGTTGTTAACCTTGTGAAATTACATCTCATTATGTTATATTGAAAGTTCTATTGTCACTTGATAGCATGAATTAAATGGTATTGGATTGTACGTTGGTACAAAGATAAACTCATGCATTCCCTACGAGTAAACTTGTTTACTCAACCCTAAGTTAATGGGTGTTTTGCAGGTAAAGAAGCCATAATGTGGGATGCACAACAATCTTAGACTTGCTAGACTACTTGAAGTATTTTTTGCTATGTTAGAATATGCACATGTTAGCATATCTTGTTCCATTTTGCTTACTATGTCAAACACTTGTGTTTATTGTTCAAGT